GGGGCCGATAGTGTTCGTCAGCAGCCACAGCCTGCCGGCCCCTCGACTGGCACACTCTGGGGCTTCGCAGCCTGCCACCAGCAGTTCAGAGAAGTGCCCAGAGAAAAGGCTCTGAGTGCCACCTCTGGCACGCGTGCCATAGGTTCGCCACCACTGGCCTAAAATCTAGAATTCCACAAAAAAAGCCACTTTTATCTCTCAAAGGTTGAAAAGACTAAACTGGGCTAAAACTGGACAGAGGAACAATGGGACAATGTTATTTGAAGTGATGAGACCAAGATCTCCCTGTTTGGTAGTGATGGCATAAAATACGTAAGGAGAAGAATCGGAGAAGATTTGCATCCTGATTGCATTACATACATTACAAACACCCAGTCAATGTTATGATTTGGGGTTGTATGATATCAAAAGGTGTGGGCAGAATTTGTGTGATTTGTGTGAATATAAATGGCCAAAAATACATCAATGAAATATTTGAGCCCAAACTGAAGCCTTCTGCACATGATCTTTTCCAAGACAATGAAGCATTTATATTTCAACAGGATTCAGCTCCATGTCATATTGCTGCTGTGTGCAAAAAGTGGTTTCAAGATAATCATATTCCATTGCTGGAATGGCCTGGGAATAGCCCAGACCTTAACCCAATTGAAAATCTATGGAGCCGACTAAAGAAACCTATTAGTCAGAAGCGACCCAGCAATAAAACCCAGTTAATAGAAGCAATCATTCAATCTTGGTTTCATATTATAACACCTGCAGAACTAAAGGACTTGGTTCACTCCATGGGAAGAAGTTGTAAGGCCATAATTCATGCTAAAGGCTACCCAGCTAAGTATTAACTGACATGGTGATAATTTTTTTATGTCTCATTTTTTCTATGGTGATAATTTTTGTATATCTCGTTTTTTCTAAGTGTTTCACTTTTCTTCTTTATAACTGCTATTCTAATAGCAAATCATAAAAGTTATTGCATTACATTTTTGATTAAATTAACTTTCCATTGATATATAATTTTATGGTACTACTCCAAACAAAGTGGTATTATTAGCCATCAAACCTCAAATGTACACTTTTCCCAAAAGGTTTCCACAATTTTGTCCACTACTGTACCTACCAGTAAAGGGGGAAAAGAAAAAGAACTAAAAGACATGAAGGAATCCCTCAGAACCTAACTGGGCCTTCATCAAATCCAAAAAAAAAGACCCAGCAAGAGCTCCTCCATTACAGACAAAGAAGAGAACAACAAACATAGCAACATTGTCATTCCATATGTAGCAGGAATATCTGAAAAACTCAAGAGGATTTTCAACCAACACAACATACACCAACACAACATACATATACAAGTTGAAAACATTGTCATCCTACTTGCAGACAAAAGCAGACTGATGGTAGTAATGGACAAAGATGACTACATCTGCAAAGCTGAAAATCATCTCAATGACACCAACGCCTACCAAATAATCTACAACGATCCTACAAAATAGCTAGAGAACAAAATAAAAGATACGCTAAGAAAAATGGAAAAAGAAAAACAGCTAACACCACTAGAGAGAAAGCACATGAAACCACAAGATTCCTCCACACCCAGGGTCTACGGACTCCCCAAAATATACAAGAACAGGATCCCATTATGCCCAATTGTGTCTCTACCTGGAACACCAACATACAAACTAGCAAAATCCATGCAGAGGAAACTCGGACACCTGGTCAATGACTCAATCCACCCAATAAACTCCCCAGAACAATTTCTCCATTGCATCAAACACACCAAGATCAACAAGGAAGAAAGTATTGTATCCTTCAACATCAATACCCTCTTCACCTCAATTGACATTTTCCTGGCTAAAAAAATCATTCACCGCCTACTCACTAAACACCATACCCAGAAGGATGATGCCACCACGGAACATTTCATGTCCACAGAAACCTCATGAAACTCTTGGATCTATGCCTCAACACATACTTCAAGTTTAATGAAAAAATATACAAGCAAGTACAAGGTATCCTGATGGGATCACCCATATCAGGCCTAATAGCAGAAGCAGTCATGCAATGACTTGAATCAATAGCTCTACCCACCAGCCAACCAAAATTCTGAACATGCTATGTCGATAAGACCTTCGTCATCATCAAATGCTCCCAAATTGAAGAAACACATCACCTATTTAATAACATATTCCTGGGGATCAAGTTTACACGTGAAGAGGAAACAGACAATAAACTCCCATTCCTCAACATCAACATAAGGAGACTGGACAATGGAGAACTAGAAACCCACGTCTACTTCAAACCTATGCACACAGACCAGATCCTCAGTTTCACAAGCAACCATTCTACTCACACAAAAGGAGCTGCATCCAGACCCTCTTCAGAAGGGCCAAGATACACTGCAGCACCACAACACTAAGAAAAGCAGGAGAGAAATGGCTGCTTGATGTCTTTCTCTGCAATCCAAAAAACTTCACATTCCAACACACAGCACCCAAACCACAACACACCACGCAGCTGACCACCACACAAAACCTAATCCTACCATACATAAAAGGGGTGTCAGAAATGACAGCCAGAATTCTCCAACCCCTAGGAATAACAATAGCCCACAAACCCACAGCCACATTCTGCCAGGAATTATCAAGAACCAAAGACAAGGTACAGAAGATGAAAGAAACATTGTAATCTACAAAATAGACTGCAACAATTGCAACCAATTATATGTGGGACAAACATCACATTAGTTAAAAACCAGGATCCATGAACACTGGCTAGCAATCAAATGCCACAATTCCAAATCCTTAATCCAGTGGTGGCGAACCTATGGCACAGGTGCCAGAGGCGACACTCTGAGCCCTCTCTGTGGGCACGTGCGCCATCGCCTCAGTCCTAGGCCTTCAGCTGGGTTTTATAAAACTTTTTCCCTTTAGACCTCTGCCGTTGTGCGCAAAAAAAAAAAAGATTCAATCAGTCAATTTTAACTTCTTATGGGGGAAAAAAGGATCTTGCAAAGTTGGAATTGATTGATTGAATTTTTTAGTCTCACCCAATTTGCTGTTACCACTGCAGCCACGCCCACCCAGTTGGCCATGCCCAGCCAATGGACCACACCCATCCGGCACTCAACAATGCATAAGTGGGTTTTGGGTTGCAGTTTGGGCACTTAGTCTCTAAAAGGTTCGCCATCACTGCCTTAATCTCTACCCACACTAACACAAAAAAACCACCAGTTCAATTGGAGCAACACTAAAGTTGGCCACGCTATCACCCGCCACGCTCATGAGTTCATTGAGGCCTGGCACTCCACAACAGACACATCAACCTACAACGAGCCTACGAACCCCTCAGATTCCAAATGAATCATACAGCCAACCAGAGACAGCACCAACCCTCAACTAACCCATGCAAGTCCCCCTCACACCAGCAGTTCACCTCCCAATGACCCTGATCTGATGTAACCTATCACAAGACTCATCACAAGCCTTTCACTGATGACTCATACCTGACCCATCACAAGACCTTCATTTGATACACTCACACCTGAAGCTTTTATAAACAGAACAATGACACTGACATCCTCCAAACTCCGCTGAAGATGTTACCTAGCCTGGTAATGAAACATTCAAAAACCAACCCACAAGCTCAGAGAATGAACCTTCACCCTCATACATGTACACTTTAAACCCAAGGATAACTAAGGCAGAAGTCTGTCCACCCCAAAGATAAAACAGCCACACACAAACAGCAATGTGATATATACAACACAATGTAGTGAGACATGTGCAGACCTGTACATTGATTAAACAAAACCACTTCACAAGTGCGTGGCACAACATATGAGATCAAACCCATCAGGACAATATTCAGCAGTCCATCTGCATTTGAAAGACAAAGGTCACTCTTTTGAAGACAGCGAAGTCCACATTTTGGATAGAGAGGACCATTGGTTTGAAAAAGGGGTAAAAGAATCATTTATGTTACAACTGAACACTCTTCCTTCAACAGAGGGGAAGGAATAAGACATCACCTATTTCCAGTTTACAATGTAGCTCTTGCAGCAGTTCCAAGAAGATTCCACTATCAATTGCACCGTTTCAGGTGACCCTAAGGGCACAGATAAACTCCCAAGTGACCTCAACAGTTCTCAGAGAAAGATGAGATGAAACAACCAGATGACTGCAAAGAAATACAATCCTTCCATCCCACTCCCCACATCCTATCAGAACCTATCCTTCCATTCTTCCATCATCCAGTCTCAACTGTCAGTACCTATCCTTTCATCACACACCCCCAACCACCAGAACTGATGATTCTTGGATGAGAAGTGAATGTTTTATTCTTTCTCAAAGAAAAATAGTCCAGTTACTTTTGAAGAAAAAAGCACTTGTGAGACAATTATGGCAGCTTATTTCATGGTTTGATGTGAATACCAATATGGGTTCCTCCCCTGAATAGTCCTCAACTTATAACTAGTTACCTAACCAAAGTTTAAAACATTACAATAGCTTTGGAAAAATTTATTTAACCTGCCCTCTAAGTTAACCAACCCCCATAGCATTTCAGGCACTTGGCAACTGGTTTGCATTTACAACTGGTTGCACAGAGCCACATGATTACATTTTGTAACTTTTTTGTCATTTTCTGGCAAAAAAAATGCCCTTTGGATAAACTGGATAAGCTGGACTCAAGTTTCTAACTCTGTGATTCACTTAACAGCAATGGTGACTTGCTTAACAACTATCATAAAAATGGCTATAAAATCAAGTCTGGTCACATGGTGACTCAGCTTATGACCACAGTGGCTTAATGACCAAAGTTCTGGGCTCAATTGTCATAAATTGAGGACCAACTGTATCTGACTAATATAAAAATAGAATACTTGGAAAACAATCCAGTAACTTTGCTATAGAAATTTTACATGCTTGAAATATATATGGGTTTTTAGCGTCTAATCTTTCAAATTGGGTTGTTTTTTTTTGTTTGTTTGTTTGGCTTCCATTTGATAGAATGGATTTGCTGTAGTTCGACCTCCTGGTCACCATGCAGAAGAAAGTACCCCTATGTAAGTATGTGACTGTACTTGGATTGGGAATTTTCACTTAGCTGGGCAATGTATTGGCTGTTTGTAATCTTCCAGAACAGCCTTTGAATGGGGGGGGGGGGAGCCTTTTGTTTTAGCAGTTGGAGAGCTTAGGGTGGGGTTAAGGGTAAAATGGGTGCCATAAGCCTGTAGAAGTTTAAAGCATCCATTTCACCCCTTCAGAAATGCCAAATATTTAAAGAATTTTTTCAGTTGGTTTGGGAGATAAAGATACCATGAAAACTTAGCTTTGCCTTTGCCTTTCTGACAGCATTTTTATGTTGATTTCTTAACTGCTGTGGTTTTTGGTTACTGAAAATAATATTTTGTAAATTATAGCTGCCACCAAACAGTTGTGGATGAAAGCAGGATTCTGTAAAGATTTAAACTTTCAATCAGTTAAGTGTTGTTGGGTTTTAAAACAATAATTTGCCATATTGACCAAAAGTAGTTTGATTGTTGGTATTTTTAATGTATAAAATATAATTGTATAATTTAATTAATGGTGTGCAAGGAAATAGATCTGTATACCTACATTTTGAATAGTAACACAAAATTGTAAAACTATTGTTACCATTGGAACACTTTTGAAACTTGTATTCAGAATTTCATACTTTCATTTATAAATTCCATTTCCTTTTAGGGGGTTTTGCTATTTTAATTCTGTAGCCATTTCCGCCAAACTTCTCCAGCAGAGACTGAACGTGAACAAAATCCTTATAGTGGATTGGGTGAGTGAATAAAAAATTGCTTTAAATATATGCCCTTTAGGTTGAATAAGAGCGGCCTCCTGAGTATCCTTTTTTTAGCTGTCAGGCCCCTTTTCACAGACTCCATTTCTAGAATCTGACCATGATACAGCCCCATTTTTTTATTTTGCATATTATCTTGTTCACAATTATATTGCCAGCTATCACACCTGACAAAAGGCACAAAATGCAAAACTGACGAACTCTAAGTAAACTTTCAAAGAATCCAAAATTATTGATACAAAAGTAACAAACATGCCAATCAAGGGGGGGCTCAGAATAAAGCAAGCATGTTTACTACTATTGTTTTTGTTTAATTAGATAAGAATTCCCAATTATTTTAATAGGATAACAGAGTTCAGAGAGTATTTTCCAAAGGCTTTATTCTTCAGTGGAGAATAACCAGTGACATAAGTTGAATGAAAAGAAAGAAAAAGCAATTTAAAATATATTGAAATAGTAGACAAACTGGTTATATCAAGTAAAAATAATGAAAACAATACAAAATGATGTGGTTTATGATTTGATAAAATAGATACCTTAGAAACTAATCGCTGACAAGCATATTGATTTCAATAAGAAAAAAACTTAATTCCAAATCTTGCTAATTCCTTCTGTATGAAAATTTACTTAAGAATGTTAAATACTTAAGCATAAACACAAATGTTAAATTGACCACCTTAGTGAGACTTAAAACTTTTAAATAATGTTTAAGCTTAAATAAATATATCAAGAGGCATGAAAAAAATTAAAAAATGATTCGAAAGAGGAAAGGTTTTCAAATAATAGAATAGTCTATTATTCTCCATTTTGGGAAGTTCTAGCTGCAATAAGTTACAAGAATTAGTTATAAGAAACTTCATCATGCTAAGTCTAAGAAGACACTTTTTCATCATTTGAAGGCAGTTACACATCTTCATATCATAGATAGGAATAAATAGTCCAAAGAAGATAGTCTATCCAAAATAGATAACACCAATTTCAATGATGCAGAGGATATCTTCTCTCAAGATCTCCAAAGATGAATTACTACTTCAAAAAATGGCCACTCCCCTCAGTGGTCGTGAAGCTGGATTCTAGAGTGGAGGAAATTGAAGAAACAGTAGAACTTTTGGATTATAAATTCCAAGATATGCAGAAAAAAGTGGAAACTTCACAAGATGATATTCTCATGTTTCAGTACAGACAGATGGAATATGCTTTGAGAATAAGAGGCCTGAAAGAAGATAAAACCCAAGACTTGATGGAAATGGTGATTAATGACTTGGCTGTTATTTTGAATATAGATAAAGATGAGTTACGTGGGGAAGTGGAAAGAATTTATAGAGTTAATTCTTGGATTGCAAAACAGAAGAATCTGCCTAGAGATGTGGTGATATATTTTGCTAAGAAGTCTTTGAGAAATCAGATTCTGCAAATTTTTTACAATAAAAGATTTCAGATTGCTGCCCAAGATATTATTATTTTAAAGGAAATTCCACCTAAAATTTTAAGAAGCAGAAAAGATTTTGCTTTTCTAGCAAATGAACTTAAAGCAAGACTGATGCCATTTAGATGGGAGATTCCGATGGGTATTGTTTTGAGCCATGCGGGGACACGTTATAGACTTAATACAGTTGTTAAAGCTAAGGAATTTTACAAAACGGTCCTGGGTGCAGGCTCACCTTTGCCCATGATGCACAAAGTTCTGAGTGATAAAGAGATGGAACAGAAACCTGAAGGTACAGGTGCGATGACTGCTGGACAGGTGGTATGGATGTCTCAAGCAGAGGTTAAAGAACAGAGAATGACCCGTGCAGCACATAAACGTAAAGAAAAAGAACAACAGAAAAAAGAAAAAGAAATTAAAGAATCTACTCAGCAAATTGTCTCAATGCCGGTGGGAGGAGCAAGACCCAAAAGCTCTGCAACATACTCTTCAGTAGCAGAATTTGAGGGGATCTTCTCCAGGCTCAAGGCCAAGGGAGATGGCAAAGCTCCTGACCTGGAATGTTAATGGATTAAATATTCCTCAAAAGAGAAAAAAAATCTACCATTATTTAAAGCAACACAACAATGATATTATCTGCTTGCAAGAAACTCATATTACATCTAAAGATCAAAAATACTTAAACAATCCTCGTTTGGGATCTCATTTTGTATCTCCCGCCCCTGGGAAAAAAGGGGGTGTGGTAATTTATGTTAAGCAGAATTTATCTGCTATCCTGTTAGAATCAGATCCTCATGGAAGATATGTTATGCTTGAACTTGGTTTATATGGCAAGAAAATTCTTATTGTGGGGCTGTATGCACCAAACCAGCAACAGGAGCAATTCTACAGGTTGCTACATCAGAAAATAACCTTGTTGGACTATAGATCTGTGATTTTAATGGGAGACTGGAATGGTGTCTTAGATATACAAAAGGACAAAAAAGGCTCTTCTACTTTTTTTAAACAGGCTAAACTACCTAAAGCCTTCTTTGACATGAAAGAAGATTGGGAATTGAGAGACTATTGGCGTGAACGTAACCAAGAAGAAAGGGACTTTACCTTCTTCTCAGATAGACACCAATCTTTCTCAAGAATTGATTTTTTTTTTATCACAACAGATTTATACAACAGGGTGAAGAATGTAAAAATTTTTCCTAGGACATTGTCTGATCATAGTCCAGTTTGGATGGAACTGTTTGCTGAGAAAGAAGACAGGAGATCCTGGAGGGTGAATGAGAATTTATTTAAACAAGAAAAAAATGTTCACAAACTAAAGGAATGTTTAAAGGAATATTTTGCTTTAAATATGAATAAGGGAACATCAATGTCAATGGTGTGGGATGCAAGTAAAGCTTTTATGCGTGGTATTTTGATAAAAATGAATAACTTGCATAGACAGAAACAGATTCAGAAACGTAAAGATTTAGAAGAGGAGATTAAATTAAAAGAGAAACTCCTAATTTCAAATCCTTTAGATGAAAAGGTGAAAGGAGCTATAAAACTGTTAAAAACACAATTTAACATGTTGATGGCTGATCAAGCTGCAACCAATTTACTATTTATGAAACAAAATACATTTTGTAACGCTAACAAACCAGGGAGATGGTTGGCTTATCAGTTAAGAAAGAAACAGAAACAGAGGAATATAGATAAAATAAATTATAATGGTAAATTGGTTTATCAGAAAGAATTGATCAAGAAATCTTTTTTAGAATACTACCAACAATTATACAAGAGTACTAATATTCAAACTACAGATATAAACAATTATTTAGGTAAAGTTAATTTTTCTAAATTAACAGAAGATCAGGAAAAAGAGATTAATGGTTTAATTACTAAGGAAGAAATTGTTACAGCTATTAAACAATTGAAATTGGGCAAAGCGCCGGGTACGGATGGGTTGACATCTATTTATTATAAAACTCTAGTAGAAGAGATGACTCAACCGTTGTGTGAATTGTTTAATAACTTATTACAGGGGTTAGAGATCCCTCCATCTTGGCGTAATGCATTTATATCACTGATTCCAAAAGACAATCAAGATCTTACATTGCCTAAAAATTATAGGCCTATATCTCTTTTAAATGTGGATTATAAAATTTTTGCAAAAATTTTAGCCAACAGGCTTATGGGGATCTTGCAGCAGCTTATACATAAGGATCAATCGGGTTTTATAACTGGAAGGTATATGAAAAATAATGTCAGACAAATCATTAACTTATTAGAGTATTTAGAAAAGAATAACCAAGTCTCTGCAGGCCTGATATTTTTGGATGCTGAAAAAGCCTTTGACCAAGTGAATTGGCAGTTTATGTTATGTTTAATTAAGGAGATGAATTTTGGACAAAATATATTACAAGTATTATCTAATATATATCAAAAACAGACTGCTCAACTTATTGTAAATGGGGGTCTGTCAGAGGCTTTTGTAATAGAAAAAGGTACAAGACAGGGATGCCCGTTATCTCCGTTATTGTTCGTTTTAACATTGGAAATTTTGTTGATTAAAATTCGGGAGTCTCAAGAAATAAAAGGAATAGAAATTAATAAAAAAGAATATAAATTAAGAGCCTTTGCAGATGACTTGGTTGTTACTTTGTCTCAACCTACTTGTTCGGTGGTAAAATTATTACAATTGATCCAACAATATGGACGTGTTTCTGGTTTTAAAATTAATAATAATAAGACTAAAATATTAGCTAAAAATATGACTAATGGTGATAAACAGGTTCTAGTTAAGTTAACAGACTTTGAAATTGTTGATAAGGTAAAATATTTGGGGGTTATATTATCGGCTTCCAATGCAAAATTGTATAAAAATAATTATGAAAAGCTGTGGACGGAGGTACAGAAGGATTTAAAAAATTGGAACAATTTACAGTTATCCCTTATGGGTAGAATTGCAGTTATTAAAATGAATGTCCTGCCAAAGTTTATTTTTCTGTTTCAAATGTTACCTATTCTAAAGAGTGAACGTAATTTAGATGAATGGCAAAAAGGTATTAATAAATTTGTTTGGGCAGGGAAAAAACCAAGGGTGAAACTTAAAATAATGCAAGATTTTCGTGAGAGAGGTGGACTCAAGGTACCAAATATGAAATTGTATTATGATGCTGTAGTATTAACATTGATCAGTGATTGGGTGAATTTAACAAACATAGAAATACTTCATTTGGAAGGTTGGGATTTACTTTTTGGATGGCATGCCTATTTAATATTTAATAAAAAAGTGGGTTAAATTCACACAAGCGCAAAATTTAAGAGAGAATTTTTATAAGATGTTTTATAGATGGCACCTTGATCCAAAGAAAATGTCCATTATGTACCCTAATTTACAGCCGAAATGCTGGAGATGTGGACACTTGGATGCTACTTATTATCATATCTGGTGGACGTGTAAGCATATAAAAGCTTTTTGGATTAAGATATGGTGGAATATTCAAAGAATTTTTAGAAAGAGGGTAAAATTTACTCCGCAATTATTTTTATTAGGTATTGTTATTGATTGTGA